ATGGGATAAGTTGTCCTGGGATTATTTCTTATTGAGTGTTTGGTTTGTTATATTCAAAATAATATATATTGATAAATTTTAAGAACAAGTTGTTTGTTTACAAAATTACCCTTCACTTTATTTAAACTTTTTAAATATTTCTTTGTGAGCTTTAGTTATTCATTTTTTAAAATAAAACTTTTATTTTATTTAACTTAAATATTTTTGTTTATGTATTCCCATGATAAGTACCATGTGTATTTAAAAATATAACTTTTTTCTTATTTAGCTTAAAAATAGAACTTCCCTCTTAAGTTTATTAAAGAGAAGAAAATTTATGAGAAATCAAAATAAAATAAATATAAGAATTAGTCAAATAAATTCATAAATAAAAATTATATTTATATAGTATAATTTTTTAATAGAAAAATATTTATAATTATCATAAAAATAAGGAGTAGTAAATATTATTATACATGGTATTCAAAAAAATGTAAATATACATAAATGTAAAAAATGATGTATAAAAAGGATTTAAAGGGACATATTTGTCATTTACCTATTTTATCTCGGGATAAGTTATCCCGGGATTACTATACCACCCATGGGGAGGGATAACTTATCCCGGTACTAATTATTAATCCCGGGATAAGTTATCCCGGACTTGCCAACCAAACAACATAATTATTTTTTTATCCCATCATTATTTCCTTATCCCATCACTATTATTTCTAATCCCTCACACCAAACGAGCCCTTAGAGTGTCTAGTGAAATATATCAAATATCTAAAGCTATATATAATTTTGTTCCAACGTTAGCTAGTACACGTAGATACACCTTAACATGTACACTTGAGTCCGCCTCTGCCCCTAAACAAATCAGCCAAGTTTGAGTAAAGATAAATCAGACATATTCATGACCTCTTTTCACCTCTTAATAAAGCAATTGCTAATTAATGTTACAAAAGTCTTTATAAACTCAATAACAATATAATATACAAAACTAATATCATAACTCAAGCATACTTTGCTGAAACTGTACAAACAAAATTGTTCCCTGACCCTTCATCCAGATGGAACTTAGAAGTGAAAGCATATATATATAAAGCTACAAACATAACAATATAAGTGTAGTTGACGTTATTTTAATAATAAATAAATCAGGACCAAACATGTCCTCCATCCAACTTCTTCTGTTTCTTCTTCCTCTTCTTTTCTTGTTTTGTATCTTCCCTTGCTTCAATACGTTTCGCATTGCATGAGCGTATCTCCCATAATTTAGTCTTCACATCTCGAGATACAACACCCAACCGCATAGACATCAATTGCTGAGCAAAACAGAAAATTGTATACTCACGTCCTCGTGAACTTGGAAAAGCAGTTAACAAAATCAAAATCACAAAAACCTACCTCAAGATGACACATTGCAGCAAGGTTGCCACCAATGAGATCTTTGAATTCCTGTGGTAGTCACACATGAATTCATGTCAGAAATAGAATCCCCTATCGAGAAAAGTGCTTCTCCATTTACAAGCTTAGTTTATAAAAATGATAGTAGAATGGGGTGAGGTGTGCAGGTAGCAGCACACAAGTCATGGAGATGGCTGGAACCGTATCATCTTTTAGAAAAGATAAAGACATGCAACATCTTCAACTTTGATAAAATTTCTCTAAAAAGTCGCATAGCAAATGTACTCAGACAACTTACCTTAACTTTTGGAGGAACACTGTCTTCTAGACGGGTGACTAGGGGTTTGGCGGAGACAGTTGAAATCAGCTGGTGATGATGAAGTCGCACTACTATTGCTGCTACATTACCAACAAGCTCCACCTGAACAACGATAACTATTGTGAAATTCAAAATTCGACATAGCTTGTAAACAGCATAAGATACAAACTTCATTCAAGCAATGCATACATGATACAATTACAAGTTTGAAGACATAATACTACCTAGTTCATATGGGCGTGCAAGAATTTGCTGATTGGTAACCTAACTGTATATAAAACCAGGGAAAAAATTGCCGATTGCTACCAAGTACTGAGTACTGAAACAACACATTATCTACTCTTTGGAGATCGACCTTAACATGAGAAGATTCTTTGCAATTATTTTGTTTTCAAAAGCTCAAGCACAATATTTGTTTTATAACATAAATGCAACAAAATTCGACATCCCTGAGAGAAAATATTAACCTTATCTGGTATGAAGGCCCAACTCTCCAGGTACAAAAAGAGCTCCAAATTATCAGAAAAGGGTAAAGCCTGCAAGGATTATTTATATATATATAATATATATATGTGAAGACAAAATCAAAATTGACAGAATATAGACCATTTAAACTCAATTGAAAAAGACAAATTCAAAGAGACACCAAATGTTGATGTGCAAAGCTTGGAAAGTTGAAGTATGGATTCTGTGGGATTGAGTAGGATAACACATTATTCAAGTGAGATTTGTAACCCCCATCTCAACCATTAGAGCGATTAAATAAACTAAAGCTAGGTTTTTAATTGATGTCAGACGCTAACACATGCTAGATGATATGAGGTAGGAATGCTCACATAAGGTCATTTGGGATGCCTTCCATGTGGACGGATGGATTCAAGGCACATAACAAATTTTGAGTAAACCACACAACCATGTAAACTTGGTTAAGTTTTGTGCAAAAGATGTCAAAACCTTCCGCGTTCAATAGACTCCATTTCAACCACAGATAAGCTCTCTAGGAATAGAAACATACTAGTGTCCATAATCAAAGCAGGAAGTTCAATTATTGCTTGATTATATCTAATAACAAATATCATGTGTATCCATCCTCTAATGGTCTAATCTACACCTACGGGAAGAAGGGTCTAATCTATTTTTAAGTCATTTGACAATCAAGGCAGACATTGTTTAGTTGAAGCACTGCCAAGAATCCTCTTTTCAAAAAGCTTCAAAGAGGCAATGGCCAATGACATAGAAAACAGAGACCAATTATAAACGACAAAAGACAATGGTATGGAAAAATTATAGAACCCTCTCAGATTGAACTTAAGATTTCCATTTGGGATAGTTTTAAACTAATGTCAGTACCCTCGAAAAGATGTTCTCTCTCTTATTATGCACCATCAAAAGTCAAATGGGATAGACCAAAAAGCTTCCCATTATAAAAAATAAACCTAACCCGGAGAACACATCCAGGCATGGTGTGTCCACGCAGACTTAAGCTCAATAAAATATACATGGTCAAAGCTTTAGCCTCAAGTGTACGGAATCGCCTAGGTGACATTTGAATTGAGACAGTTAAAAACCACTTCAGGTCAGGAAGCAATTACTGAAAAAAATGAATTTCCTAAATATAATGAATTTTTTACTGAAAACAAACACTTACCAACAACACCTGTTCCAGATCATTAGTATGAACACTAGATAATGCACGAAGAATATAATCAGACGGAGAAAGCCCAAGCATGAGAATATTCGGTCTGAATGCTGAAACTCTGCCCTTTAATTTTTCAACCTACATATACAAACATTATTCGCTAGTCAAGAAATTACCACGTCAAAATTTCTGATAATGTTTCCTTTTTTATAATGAACTAGCAATGTATTACACTCCACATCCAACCACCCAGTTCTGAAGAAAAAGGAGAGGAAGGGAAAGACATGTATATTTAGATAACAACCTCTATTGGCCACCATTATTTAGTCATTCATTGAGTTTATCGACCCTTTGGCTTAGGATTAGTCAGATCTATTTCTCGATGGGGTGTGGAAGGGATATAACTCAGCGATACAGTATCACCTTGACGTTGTGTCAGAGCCTAATTATCCCTACGTCCAATGTGATTTTTTCTTTATAAATCTAATAAACTTATGAATTTTGTATCAAGTAGGTTTCAGTTTATAAAAGAGATTACATCAAAGCTAAAACCACTCTACTTTAACTTCATTCTCATAAAAAAAACAGACAGTGGAGGAAGAACAGTAAGAAGATGCTACAGGTAGCAGAAAGGAAACCTCATGTTCAGCAATACGCTTCCGTTCCCCATTTGCCATGTCCAGTGCTTCAATGATAGAATCTGTACCAGTAAGAGTTTCTTGTGTCATTTTCCCCGCTAAAGCCACAGCTCCCTCTTCTGGAAGTTCTTCCTTTATTGCATACTTATTCTCAAATGCATTGTCGGTTTCTAATGCAAACATCTCTTCCAATCTCTTTTCTTTCTCTTCCTGCAATTCCAAGTAGCAATTTACAATTACTCTCTTTAACTGTCTAAGACTGATGCAGTATTTGAGACACACAATATAATACCTCAATAAAAAGTTGTTCTTCGGTACGATCCCAACGTCGTATGGAACGATCATGTGATCCTGTAACGATAAAATCGCCGCGGTTGCTAATCGCAAGACACCAAACTTCAGCATGGTGACCTTCAAGAGTTAAAAGCAACTCAAACTTATCGGCATCCCAATACTTCACCAGGCGATCTTTTCCCACACTAAAAAAGTAATGGGTGTTACACACAAACTTAATTCCCATGACACTGCCATGAAAACAGAGTATCAACATTTATTAATTGTTAGCTAGTTGAATATTATAATACTAGAGAGTAATTACTGTTGTAATGAGGCACCTGTCAGCGTGCGCAAAAAGTGACTTATGAATATCCCCGAAAACTAGACCCCAAATTCTCACATTTTTGTCCGCGGAGCCAGTTACAAGAAGATCCCCATCTGAAGAAATATCCATACAGAATACAGGAAGATTATGACCGTAGAGCGAAAGAAAGAACTTGAGTGAATCCATATAGAAGACCTGAAAATAAATATCCCAATTTTTGAGTACTTCAACACAAGAGATTGCATGTCTCTCCTAACGAACCAGCAGATAGTAGGAACAAAACAACTAATTTCATCTTGCAACGTCTCATAATAGAATCCATATCAGGGACAGCAACACTAAAACATTGGGAAATTACCAAGTGTAACAACAAAATCCATATCAGGCAGAAGAACTTTTTGATGTTTTAGACTATTTGTGACAAAAGGCACAGATGGAGTCAGTCTAGTTTGTAATACTTTTGGAAGGGGGACTACTTTGATGTAGTATACTTGTGGATAAATAGAAGAAAAAGTTACCATTATCAAAAAAAAAAAAAACTGTTTTTTTTTTCTAATACATAAGCTTAGATGTAGCTCGTAAAGCATCAAAAATAAACATATGGTAAATAAGAAGCAACAAGTAAAATCAAACTCAGAATTGAACATAAAGATATGGTGAACAACACTATTGTAAAGCCTTAAAAACCTGATACGACAAGCAGCATTTGTTAGACCGTTACCTTTACTGTGTTATCCGACAAAGCAACAGCAACTAATTTACCATCAGGGCTCGCAGCCACGACTAAAACATCATCATTCATTTTTAAGCTCCTTCCAGGAGATGCAGTTAAATGCTTATACACCTGTATATCGAAAAATAGAACACATCACTAATTACCAGCAGGAAACAAAAGGCGTAGTTGTAAGAATGCCAATTAAGAAGAGTAAATTTACGTACTTCACCAGTCTTTTGTACGATTTGAAATTCCCAGAATTTAACATCGTGATCAGCACTGCCAGTGAGAAAACCTGTCCCATCTGGAATTAAAGCAATTGACTGAACAGAACCACCATGGGCTTCCACTACTTCCACACAAGTACCACTTCTAATGTCGATAATTTCTAAAGTACCGCCCTTTGTACCAACGACAGCATACTTGTTGCCCGGAACAAACAGTCCACAGAGACCATATCCTGAATCAATTGTGTGGAGGCAAGAACCAGTTGTAGGGTTCCATATTTTAATTGCATTATGACTAGTCGACATCAAAAGAGTGTTATCTGAGCTGAGAGTCACACTTCTGACATCAGCACGATGCCCCTGAATCTCAATAGCACTCAATTTAGTAGTTGAACTGCTTTCTATAGCATGAAATTCCAATAAGTTATTGTTCAAAGACAAAGCTAAGGTAGCCAGTGAATTCTTTGAAGTAACTGGGGAGAAAGAAATTGAGGAGATCTTCTTTCCAGCCCATAGGATCTGATGAAGCTTGAAGATATCCGGGACTGTAACAACAAGATTGCTGCCTCCTTCAGCTTCAATATCCGTCTCTCCTTTTTCCGTTGCCTCACGGCCTTCTTTGGCAGCTTTCTTCTCCTTTCTACTGATTCTTCTTTTTGCTTTGCATTTAGATTCAGACTCATCCAGCACACGGAATATTTCCACCGTCTTCCCTGCAACTTGACAAGCCAGCAGGTTTCCCGACTTGTTAAACTTCACTGTTGCAACTCTATCCTTGCTTTGCCGCTGAATTTCACCGAATGACTTAAGTACTTCCCATTTGTTTTCAGTAGGCAACTCCTTATTCATATCTGTTTTGTTTTCATGATTTATAGAGTAAAAACGAAGTTCAGGGTCAGCAGAACCGGTGACCAGATATTTTTCCTCGGGGTCAATATCTATGGACCATATTTCAGAATGATGACCACTTATAATCTGCATGCAATGTTGAGTATCAAGATCCCATGCCCTCAAAAACTTGTCCTTAGAAGCCGTGACGAGTTTGTTGCCAGAATCCAAGAAAACAAGATCAGTAACCTGCAAGCAACACAGTTGGCAATGGAACAAAATTTAAAAATTCACAAGTAGGCACGATGAAGTCATAAATGGAAGTACGTTATTCCTAGTTTGTTTGAAGATATTCATGAACCTGATCACGATGCCCTCGAAGGCGAAAAAGACCAGTCTCCGCCACCACATCCCACAAAATAATGTCATTATCTTTACCTCCTGATGCTAGTAATGATCCAAGCTTATTGTATCGAAGTGCCGTTACAGCCCCTTTATGCCCATTCAATGTGGTTTCACACATCCCTTTCTCGGAATCCCAAATTCTAATAGTTCCTTGAGCATAACCACTAGCTATCTGCAATTATGTCCAATTTATCACTATTAAAACAATGGGAAAAAAATCATAACATACACAATCTTTTCCTATGAAACATTGAGTATGAAACCAAGCCATTGACCTCGAAACACTGAATAGGTTTAGCTTTCGTGCTTTCCTACGCCCCAAATTATTATTATATTTTTGCAAGGCGTTACATTTTGAACCCATTTTTCATGTTATTTTATTAACATTATTTGGTTCTGGCAGAATATAAGAACAAAGGATGCTGGTTTAGCTGAATACAACTGAAGTTTAGCAATTATCGGCACAGAAAGAAAAAAACAGAGGCTAAAAAAATGAAGACGACTTACGCGGGATGATGATGATGAAATTGATGTGACAGCATTAGAGGGGGCTTTTGAGTTTGATGAAGGTAAAGGAGTTAGGGTTTTGGTGCAAAGACCCTGCCTCACATGCCATATGCCAATTTTCTCTAACGCCGGCACCAACAAGTGTTTGCCGGACGAATCATACGCAATCTTTGATTCAACCGATACTATAACCCCAAAACACGCCGCTGGTTCATACCGGAGATACGATTTCACCATGCTCTGATTGTTAGGGTTTAACTTTATCAGGGGTTTTGGATTATACTTTTTTTTAATTTATATTGATACATTCCAAACTCCAATGCTCTGACTGTTAGGGTTTAAGTTTATCAGGGGTTTTGGAATATACTTTTTTTTATTTATACATTCCTATGCCGCCTTTGACACCCAAATTTCAACCAAAAATAAATTAATTATTTATCGTAAAAAAATAAAAAAGGATAATATTTTACTATTTTATTTTCTTTAGCATTTTTCAGAAGAAATCAAGAAAACGCCATTTTACGTTCTTCTACGTTGTTAGCTAACACTCATAGTCATATATTATTTCATTTAAGAAATTTATTTTTTATATTTATATAATATCTTTTTGTTATTTTACGTTTATGTATGATTATTTTATTTATTATTTTGTATATAATAACTAGAAAAAAGTAACAAAAATATTTTTGCAAAATTAGAAAAAAAAAACAGCCCTCCAAAAAAAGGTATAATATTGATTAAAATTTTGAATATGTACATATTAAAATGGATTATAACTTATATCAACTTCTCAATTTCTTGAACTAAATTATATTGTTCTAATTCTATTACACTAAAACCTTATTAAATTAATACTCGATAAATTAATAATCTCTCTAAGATAATATATTTCTTCAGTCCTGACTTAGGCCAATGGGGAAATCACGCATTTCGATAAGATAATACGATAATATATTTTCTGAAGATCCCTATATAAATATATGGTTCCATTTGTTAGGGTTTTGTCCTGATTTTCTTACCTTATTTGAAAAATAAAATTCCTTAAAGAAAAGTCAAAGTATTACCATAAATATTTGAAATTTTTCTGAAAGGAAAATATAATATTATTTCATATTTTGTTTAAAGGTTTTGGAATAGCTAGTCCTTTTCTAGTAAGAAAAGGTTTTAGGACTCTATAAATATAGGTTTGTTTCTTCTAATACAATAACAATAACATCCACAATGTAGTCGTTTAAGAGTCTTGTTTATGATGAAATTTATTCTCTCTATAAATAAATGTTTGTTTCTTCTAATACAATAACAATAACATCCACAATGTAGTCGTGTAAGAGTCTTGTTTATTTTTTTCCTTAAAGAAAAGTCAAAGTATTACCATAAATGTTTGAACTTTTTCTAAAAGGAAAATATAATATTATTTCATATTTTGTTTATTCTTTCCTTTTAGGAAAATGTTTTGGAATAGCTAGTCTTTTTCTAGTAAGAAAAAGTTTTAGGACTCTATAAATATATGTTTGTTTCTTCTAATACAATAACAATAACATCCACAATGTAGTCATTTAAGAGTCTTGTTTATGAGGAAATTTATTCTCTCTAAAGTTTCAATATTTTTCTTTATATTAGTTTTGATATAATAATATTTTGATTTTTAGTATAAGTTTTTGTTATCTGTTTTATCAACTATATGATTTGCAAATTGTAAGCTTCCGCATGACGCCCTAATCACCCTTCATAACCCATTAAGTGGTATCAGAGCACATGGTTCAATGATCCAATGGTTCAACAAGATTGAAGAAAGGTTCAAGTGGTTTCAAATCAATTTGCAACAAAGTTGATGATAATAAAGATTTTTGTGCTACTACATGTGGAGAAAATTTTAAAAATATATTTTCAATAATATCCTGTTGCTCCATCGTTTAAACCAAAATTAACTTTCAACTCATGCTTACTTTAGAGCATGAGCTCCAACTTTCAACCCCTGCAAACTTTAATGCTCGGGCTCCACTTTTAACTCATACTCCCTCTGTCCCATTTTATATGACTCACTTTCCTTTTTAGTCAGTCCCAAAAAGAATGACACATTTCCATATTAAGTAACAATTTAACTATAAAATGTCTATTTTACCCTTAATGAAATGATTTACAGCCACACAAATTTCTATCATTCATTTTGGACCACAAATTTTAAAAGTCTTCCTTTCTTTCTTAAACTCCGTGCCGAGTCAAACTACCTCATATAAAATGGGACAGAGGGAGTATATCTTTACTTTTAACGCATGAGCTCCACTTTTAACTCATGCATCTTACTTTTAACGCATGAGCCCTACTTCAACTCATGCATATTACTTTTAACGCATGAGCTCCACTTTCAACCCTGTTCATAACTTTTAACACATTGCTTCAAATTTTTAACCCATATCAATTTTTAAATCATGATAAGCAGTAGTGATACATGAAGATTTTGTGAAGAACAAGATTATCAAGCATATGAAGAAGACGGATCAAGTTTTGTCAAGAAAATTCAGCCAAAAGAAGAGATTTGTTAGGGTTTTGCCCTGATTTTCTTACCTTATTTGAAGTTTATTTTTTTCCTTAAAGAAAAGTCAAAGTATTACTATAAATACTTGAACTTTTTCTGAAAGGAAAATATAATATTCTTTTATATTTGGTTTATTCTTTTCTTTTAGGAAAAGATTTGGAGTAGCTAGTCCTTTTCTAGTAAGAAAAGGTTTTAGGACTCTATAAATATAGGTTTTCTTCTAACACAATAACAATAACATCCACAATGTAGTCGTTTAAAAGTTTAGTTTATGGGGAGATTTTCTCCTAAACATATTTATGTTTTTTTAGTATTAGTTTTCAATATGTAGGTTGATTGACCAAACTATAATAATATTATATCTTTAGTATGTTTTTATGCGTCGTCTAATTTATCATCTTATGATTTGTAATTGTAAGCTTCCGTATGACGCCCTAATCACCTTCATAACCCAACACCATTAATATTATAAATTAATAATTCGTTAAAAGTACAAATATATCTAAGACAATTTAGTGAAATATGATTATATTGTGTTTTATTTTTTGTTAAAATTTAAATCTTGTTGAAGCTCTTCTTTAACTTTTCTTATTATATCTAAAGTTTCGATATTGTCTTTTTTAACTGCACCATAAAATTGTGAGAAGTTCTAAATGTAATCAGTGATTCCTAATTTTAACTGGTTCAAAGGTATTGTATCATCTTCTACTCTATCATCAACATTATTTTTTTCAATGGTATCCACAATTTTTTTTAAGCTCTGGACCTATGAACATGTATCATTTTCACTCATCCAACATGTTATTAACATCCATTTTATTGCGATAACCGAGATCATTAATCATGACCTCAAGTTCATGAATGACGTTTTCACAAGTGGATTCATTGAAATCCTTTGAGATTTCATCCCCAAACGAATTTTGCGATATCAAAACACTCTTTAAATTAATAAATATTAATTTACTGATTAAATAATATCTCTATAAAATAATAATAATTCATGGTCTCACCTATATTAATTTAGTGAGGTTTTACTATATATTAGCATTTGGTCATAAATTTTTAAATATTTTTGGCAAGCCATTTTTGGATGAAGTTTCACTATGCGTTTGATCATAGATTTTGGGAGAAACATTTGACTTTTTAAAAGATGATTTATACCCCTAAGTTCTAAAAATTATTAAAAATACTCGTAAGTTTGTATTATCATTTTATAATGAAAATGTTCCGTGAAAATTCATTACAACGAACATAACTAATATGAATTTGAAAAAAAGAGGAAAAAAACAAAAGGAAAATATCATTGATTTGTATACGAAAAACTACTATTATTACTTGTAATGGTGACTTCGAAGAGCAACCTCGGATAAAAATTGTATAAAATATGGATATAACCAAAACTATAGATGATGAGTGTTTATAAAAGAAATACTATAAAAGTTTAGGATAATTTTTAAATTATTAAAAATTCTCAAATACTAGAATTTGGGCCAATATTGTTGGCAAATAACTCAAGTAAAATTTGGGGAAAAATTGGCAAATAGTGTTTGTCCATACACTTTGTCATTATTTGGCAAATATTTTTGGCAAATAACCCAAATTTCCAAATATTAGAAAAAAACTAGTATTTGGGCCAAATCTCATAATTTGGGAACTTTTAATAATTTAAATTCTATACCAAACTTTTATCTTTTACAAAAACACCCTCTATAGTAGTTGCTTGCGTTGTTTTACATAAATTTTTTACGTTGAACATCAAAGTAGTGATGGAATATGCAGTGAATATGAAAGTGATGATATGGTTGTTGATGAAAATGATGAACAATCGGCTCAGGGTAACAAAGTCATGTGTTATGTAATCCAAACTTATTGTTAGTTTTGATAGTTTTTAAAACTTATGGGTATAAATCATATTTCTTAAAAAAGTGAAATATGTTTCCCAAACACTATGGTCAAACACATGGTGAAATTTCACCCAAATAATATTTGCTAAAGTACTTGGAAATCTATGATCAAACGCTAGCTAAAAGTTGGGAACTTGGATGTTCGCCAAATATATTGTCAAATAATGACAAATTATATAGCTAAACATTGATTCCCAAAAAATTTCCAAAACATATTTATGGTCAAACGGGTCCTTAGTTTAATATATAATAACAAATTTAAAATTGAATAATTAATTGGTTAAATATTAAAATCAAAAGAGAAGACTCCTAGGGTGTGTTTGGTATGGATCCAATTTTTTCATGTTTGGTTGGCTTAAATGTTTGAAAAATGTTTTCCAAATCAACTCATTTTCCTCAAATTTAAGGAAAATGACTTTCCTTTCAAAATTAAGGAAAATATTTTCCAAAACTCTACTTCATCCTATAATTTTTTTCTTACCCTACTCATACCCCGTACCCGACCCTACCACTAAACCCCTCCTCCCTGTCAAACAAAAAAGAATAAAAAAATTAAAAATTATTTTTAAAAAGTGTTTCAATTTTTAAGATTTTTTTTACCTCACCCAATCTCTACCACCCCTACTCCCTACCCCCCCCCCTCCCAAGAAAAAATTGTTTTTGAAATTTTTTTCCTAGGTCAGATCCTGGGTCAAATTTCAGGATCAAATTTTGGAACGGTCATCGGGGTCTTGTCCTAGTTTGGGTGTTGGGGTCGGGTCCTAGATCAATTATCGGGGTTGATTTTCGGATTAAAAATTATTTTCGTAAAGAGTATTTATTAGTCTCAAGCCAAAAATAAAAGATATTTTCTAAAAAATATTTTTCATTCACCAACCAAACATTAAAAAATATTTTCCAGAAAATATTTTCTACTCACCAA